TAAATGGGAGACATTATGAAGCCAGATTCTCTAGCCTAACCACCATCCAAATAACGGTGTGACCTAAAGGAACAACCTGTAGGGTTTGACCGTCTTACTGCAATAATTTACTCGAGATCCATAGAATTTAGGAGTTATTTCTTGATAAGTCTTAATTCACTTATTATTTTACCTCCTTTAAAACCCCATTCTGGTTGTTTTATTGTTATTTCCCACTCTTTTTGGTGTGGTTGTGTTCTCTGAGCTGGATAGTTTATTTGCGAAGCTTTCATCACCTTACTAGGTGACATCTTCAGCGCATATTTCAATTTCAGGTCAAAGAAACAATCAGTTCCAATACAAGTAACCTAGAAGGTGTGAAAACATACAAAAACAACCAATCACGTCCAAGGTCACAGGGAGAGATCATTAATAAACTCGTGGACAAATCTAAAATCTCACTTCAAATTAAAATATACGCTAAAGATGTCACCTAGTAGGGTGATGAAAGCTTCGCAAATTAACTATCCAGCTCAGAGAACACAACCATACCAAAATCATCCACCTGAGCTACAAATCTTCTCTATCATTTCCCACTCTTTTCGCTTTCTTGTTGCCATGTTAACACAAACACTATGGCAGTTTGATGAACTCATCGATTTGTGAAGAAGGAGATGACCTTAGTGTTTAACAATTTATTCTTCTTGAGAATTTTCTTATTACCCTGTACTTCTGAAATTCAAATACGTGATATCTGCTACAGATTTCTTATGTCCATCCAATGCTATTCTTTCGCCACTCAGTGCTACTTACTTGACTTGTGATTAATCAGTTTCAAACAGCCTTATTTCCTATAGATTTTACGAGCTGTTATCAACAGTAACGAATATTAAACGTCAAAGGAGACACTGGTCTTCTCCAATAACTGGTTGGAAATTATTACTGTTGTTTCAAAAAAGAATGAATATGTGCTGCCACTTACACATCAGAAGGGAGAAAAAAACAATGTACAATGACGTTTTTTCTCTAAAGAGTATGACCGACTGTGTCATGCATCCGTCTCCTGAGGACTTGTTCACAAATAGTAGGCACATTCTCAGATTGAATAAAGAATAACTTTAGGCACGTGAAAAATACGCGGCTGGAGGTCACATCTCTCAACTTGTAAGGAGCATATAAGACTCAACACACTACTTATGACTTTTTTCCAGAGACCATGACGCATACACAATCCCTTTTTCATCTTCAAAAGTTTCAGCATCTGATTGCTTTTATTCATGTATCTTTTGCCTTCACAATTTTCGTACATGAGTATTTATCTCTCCTGGTTCTTTTCTTGTGATGTCAGGAATATTTCCATCATTTTTTAGAACTGTTGACTGTTTTCTTAACAGATTAGAGATGATACCAAATATGTGGAGATATGGTTGATTGGCGTGAGAGTATGGTCTTCAACCAACGGGTCACGGGTTCGAGTTCTACTCTAAGTACATCATCCTGAGCAACAAAGTAAGTGTAGCCCTCAGTTTGATACATAAAATATCTACTCCGGGCAACTGAGTACAAACAAAGTTAGTTGATGAGAGTTTTCGACAGCTTTCAGCACGTAGTTTGTCTTTTGAAATCCACATTCCTCATGTTCATTCAAATGAGAACTCAAAATCGAATCCATTTGTGACCAACAACCAAATAATTACCAGGTTGTAGATAGTGAAATAAAATTAATCGCAGTATCATGGAGAAATTCAAGTGAACTGCAGGAATTATGCAGAAGTATATATTTTATGATGAATGGAAAGGTAGACACATGAAGCAAACTAAACCGTGACAATAAAAAGACTCCAAAGTTGCTCCAAATTTTTCAACACGAACATTGTGCATGACAAAACTGTGGAAATGTCTAGACATAAGCTGAATCAAGATGAACTTTGATTTTGTTGCTTGCAAGTGTAGCCCAGCTAAACTGCATGAGATTTATCTTTCACAAAACATTTTGGCTATTCTAGTATTTTAAAGAACGTCGAGGAACTACAGAGTCTCCTTGACCACGGTACTATCCGCTACTTTAGGGATAGCACTACCTATATTACACTTTATGCTATAAATAACTATAAATAATCAAATCAACCCAAAGCTTATTAAAAATATAAAAGTTTAGCAATGCTTGTTGAAACTGATTCAAACAACCTACCATAGGTGAGGTAGGTTTCCAAACGTTTTTAGGCAGCATTTAAATGTTACTCACACTCGATAGAAATATCATGTGAGCGATGTAGAAATCTGGAAAAGAGCTAGTGGTGATCAAACCAAAACTTGGCGTCAGCCAATGAAATCAATAACAATTAGTTTGAGCCACGTCGGGAGGTGCAAACTACCGGGTCGAGATCCTCAGGATCCTAGAAACCAATGGCTGGAGACAATCGGTTATTCGGCTCAAAATCGTTCTCAATGGCTGGCGCAGATGCATTCACACCTTGTGATTTCGCATATCCAATAAAACTATTGTTCTTCCATACTGTTATTCTCCCCCCCTCACTATTGTTTTATCTCTCCTTTGGACCTCTACTCTCTTCTCTTGCTTTGTGCTACATGGAGCGTGGCAACTCCAACTGCTGAACTTCTGTGAAAAGTTCTATGTTGAAACGAGTCAGTCAGTTAGATGTAGAAGTTAAGCTTAGACCTCTATATAAGGTAGACGCATCAATTGAGAAAATTATTTATTTTCATAAGATGACGTAACTGAATTACGTATTACACATTCCTACCCAGCTACTACCTCCACTGTGACGCGAATGATTATACTGGAAGAAAGCGATAGCTGACCAGATAAAATGTGGTGTCAAATAATGAATTGGCTGGCTTTTATTCTGAATTGTATAAGGGAAAGTAGGCTGCTAGACTGAAGTCAATGTGCAAAAAGGACATATAGTTAAAGGCACCAGGTGATGTGACGGAATGTCGAACTCAGTAGAGCGTATGCATTCATACTTTATCCTACGTAAGATAATGCTGAAAGACGGTGTGTGTCCGTTTAACACTCAGAATTTCCCACGAGGAACAGTCAAGTACTATGAGGCATCTCGGCATCATTCTACGTGAAAATCACTAGGCAGTTCTCACCACTGCCATTCAGGAGTTAACAAGCAGTGCAGTACTTTTCTATTTCTGTTTAGAACATAGGAGCTCTAACTTTAGACCGCTTTACAGTAATTTGTGGTTTATTCATACTACTGCGCCTAAAGGCAAACCAACGAGTTGTTTATTTCACGTTTTAGAAAAGACATTATTACTCTGAAAGAAGTGCAGAGAATGGCCAATAAGAAGGCAGTTGAACCAACCTTACCATGATCGCTTTATACGTCATAAAGTTCATTTTGAAATTACCAGAAGATTAGGGGGATTGATAATTGCATATCATATTGTCCATAATCTCACATCCTAACAGAATACTTAGTATTCAATCGAAAGTCTAGCTTGAAGAATAACTCTGATGGCAGAGTATGAAGAAGCAAGTACGAGGATCCGAGAGATGCCTGAAAAAGTCAGAATTTGTAATTTATGGGACTCCACCTCAGGATGATGCGATGGCTTCTTGAACAGATACTTCCAAGAGGCTAGACATGTAGTATAGGTGAGAAGCTTTACTTCCCATAGTAGACCACTGGTACCACTACTACACGGCAAACAGTATGATTACTTCAAATAGCGTCCTGTCCTTTCAGACCCCAGGATCAGGCAGAGAACATTCTTCTGTCACGGGCGCAGAACTAACAGAACATCTAGCCCACTACCCCCATCAAAAGTTTGGAATTTATGCTAGTTGTGAAATGACTTCTCTTATTCAATATTTTGCCCCTAAAAACGGATTTTAGAGATACTACTTTCATCTCTTTTTCGCTATCTTCATTAGTTTACCCTTCATAATCAAATCTGGCTTGTAAAAAATTGGAATACTACACAATAATACCATAATGAGTAGCTGGACCGGAATTAGACATTACTTCTATTCACAGAATAATGGGGGTACCGGTAACCAATTTGGTAACACTGCTGAAAATCATAGAAACAGTACCCATAAGATTATAGGTTTCCAGGCCGTAGGTGTTACGAACTTCCTGGAATAATTTGAGCGCTGAGTCAGATTGATTTATTAGAAATTATTTAAATTAATCCCGGCGTGTTAAGAAAATCAAAACAAGATTTTTCTGAACGTTTCGCTGTGTAAGCCACGGCTTCTTCAGCAGATTTATTCGGATTTATCCGAATGAAAGTACCCATAAGACACTAAAACCAACTAAATGGCGTCAGACAATGAAATTCTGTACTCCCACGAAATGTGTCTCCCCACCCCCGCCCTTTAAAGCATTCAAGCCCACATAACAGTCACTAAATAGCAGCAAAACATTGCAATCCATATACGCCAACATCAATATGACTTATTTCACAAAACGCATGCTACACACCATACGTTCCAAATATTATGAGACGCTATAGCGCATGAAACACCCGATAGATAGCGCCATACCGATCATGACAATGAACTTACAATGTAACAAGAGGATTCAGCACAATAACTGTATAACACTGTGTGATTTATCAAAATAAAATTGTATCCATAATGGAGTTATACTCTACCACAGTGCCCAAGTTCTATACTTATATCAAGTGAAACACGAATGTATTTATAAGGCAAAATCCAACTGAGTGAAAACGTAATTAAATATATTATGAAGCAAGTGATAGTGCTACTTCCTTAGTTTGATTGGCTTAGATGTTACTCTTCCCAACTCTCGATGTCCCTTCTTCACATGAATAAAACGTACAAGAAATAAATAAAATAAATGTATTACAACTAATGATTGAAATTTTGCGTTAGTGAAAACTGTTGGAAGACGGAACTTATATGAAAAAAAGCATGAATTTTACCTAAAACTCGTCAAACATATGACAGCTTTCTCGTAATATGAACACACCAGTGGTTCTAATACAATCAACAACGTGAAAACATGCAACCTGTTTACCTTGAGATGGAGGCCGAAAATGACAAAGTCAGTTGAAGAAGCTCGTGGGTATACATTTCTTTCATATAAGTATAAGTGGATCACAGATTCAATAAAGTCACTGATTAAGTTACCAACTGACAGGAGATATTAGTAAATATTCAGAACAAACCATCAAGCCTCACTTGGCGGTTTTGCATAGAACTGGAAAAGAGTTAAAAATCAAAATACAAAATAATGCGAAATTAGTTCATTAGTTATCTTTAACCCCATGCTTGAGTTTTACAGTAATGCAAAATTAATTTCCCTTCAACACTGAAACAATCAAATAATGGGCCAATTTCAGAGTCCATTGCTGGGGCGAAGCATTGATTCACATACAGGAATAGAGATTCCGAGGGGGCACATGATATATACTTCCTTATAAAATCCACTACCCAATGTATTTTCTGCTTCCTGCTAACAGACCATTTCATTTTTTTCATAACTGGTGCATTTCCAGTAGCCTTAAGTAAAAGTACTACTTTATCTGATTGGCCTTCTTGTTCAGCGCCGGATGTAGCATTATCCGTGGGTACGCTCATACATGCAAGCGACTTAAGTTACCTGAAAATGAAATGTACAATGTTTGGCCAGAGCAACCTTGAGAATATTTGAAAGGCTGCGATTCTAAGGTCACATTGTTTACAAAATTAGCTTCCAGCTTTCGATGTTGTCAAGTGTAAGCCAACTGCACTGATGCACATTGTAATAAGTAAGGAAGGTAGCAGTGAATTCCAATTCACGACGATTTGATATTTTATTATAGTCCCCTTGGGTTCCTAGTGGAACATAGGGCTTCAACTGCACGTCTCCACTTGCTTCTGTCTTCTGCTGTACTTTTCACTTGCATCCATGTTAGTCCATACTGTTTCAACTCCTTTTCACACGATCTCCTCCATGTCACTCTTGGACGTCCCACTCGCCGCTTCTCCTTCGGGTTCCACTCCAGCTATGGCTTGCCACGCGATGTCACCCAGTGGCCTCCTCAGCGAGTGTCCAATCCATCTCCACTTTCTCCTGCATATTTGTTGGGCGGTTGGTTCTTGTTTTTTTGTTCCCGTAGTTCCTTGTTGGTGATTCTTTCCGGCCATCTGATCTTCAGTATAGAACGAAGACAGTTAGTTGTTGATAAAGGTCTGCAACAGGCTGTTGGAAATATTCTTTGTGACACACTGGCCAAGTTTCTGATCCGTATAGAAGAACTGACTTGAAGTCGTTTGTATTGAAAATCCGAATTTTGTTGTTGATGCTGAGTTGGGTGACGAAGATTTCCAGATTGGTTTTAGGTTCATGAATGTGTTTCTCGCCTTCTCGATTCTCGATTTGACATCCTCATCCGTTCCTCCTGCAGTTGAGGCGATGCTCCCTACATAAGTGAATGAAGTAACCTCTTTCAAATCCTTTCCGTTGATGGTGATTGCCGCTGGATGTTGCTGCTGCTGCTGTTGTTGTTGTTGGTTGGTTGGTTATTTTCATGACCTCCGTCTTGTCTATGTTCACCTGCAGTCCTGTCTTTGCTGCTTCTTCGACCAGTTTGTCGGTTTTCGCTTGTAATTCTTCGATTTTGTTTGACGTCAAACATAAATCATCGACGCGCGAAATCCAGGTCTTCTAGGTTCTTCATGTCGATCCAGGATATCCCTGTCTTCTCGTTTCCCACTGTCTGACGCATAATCCAGTCCACCACAATTAGGAATATGATTGGTGATAATAAGCACCCTTGTCTCACTCCTGTGTTTACTCCATAAGCTTCGCTGAGTTTTCCGTTGTGGGTCACTTGACATGTGTGGTTGTCTTACAGCTGTTGAATAAGGTTGATGAATATTTGGGGTACGCCGTAGTACTCTAGTAGTTTCCAAATTACTTCGCGGTCAACGCTGTAAAGCTGAGGTAGAGGTTTGATTGCCATTCCATGCTTTGTTCGATGATGATGCGTAGAGTTGCAATTTGGTCAGAACATGATTTGCCTTTCCTCAATCCAGCTTGTTCTGGTCGGAGTTCTGTATCCAGTACGTCCTTGATTCTCTTCAGGATGAAGCGACTCAGGATTTTACTTGGCGTCGACAGGAGCATGATTCCTCGCCAGTTCTTGCATAGTCCCAGGTCGCCCTTCTTTGGTAGTTTCACTAGATAACCTTTCTTCCAGTCAGTAAGCACCTTTCCCTCCTTCCAGACCTTTTGCAATAATGGAGTCAGCCTATCTGCTGTCGTTTCTAGGTTCGCTTTCAGTGCTTCCGGGAGTATCCCATCTGGTCCAGCTGCTTTTCCAGCTTTCAGAAGCTTGATTGCATTCAAGACTTCAGCTTTCGTTGAAGGATTGGTGTCAACTTGCAGTTGTGTACGTGCTGTTGTTGGTATTTCTGGACGGGTTGTTGGTGGTGGTCGGTTCAAGAGTCCTTTGAAGTGGTCCAGCCATTGTTTAATCTGTCTTTCTTCCTTGGTAATTGGTTTCCCTTGGCTGTCCTTTATAGGTTTCACTTGTGTTGATCTCTTCCCGGATAGAGACTTGGTTATCTGATATAGTGTCCTCAGGTCCCTTTTGCCTGCTGCCTTCTCAGCTTCAGTAGCCAGGTTGTCGTAGAATTGTCTTTTGTCCTTCCTGGCACTCCTCTTCACTTCTTTGTCCAATGCTGTGTAAGTTGAGCTCAGCGTCTCTTCCTCTTGTCCATCTTTGCATTGAATCATTTTCTCTTTCACCAGTCTCCTCTCCTCTATTAGTTTCCAAGTGTCTGTTGAGAGCCATTCCTTGTCTTGTTTCCTCTTTCTTCCTAAAACCGTTGAACACGTTTCGTTGAAAATCACTTTCAGAGAGTTCCAGTGGTCTTCCACGGATTATTCCCCAGTGGTGTCACGTAGTGTTTCCTGCTTTGCTCTGACAGTTGCAGTGAGTGTCCTTTGTGATTGTGTCCTTCAGTTTTTGCGTGTTGAGCTTGCGTTGTGGCCTATCCCCAGGTATCCTCGAGGCTTTCAGCTTCACCTTGAAAGTCCCTTGTACTAGATAGTGGTCTGAACCCACATCTGCTCCTCTCCTCGATCTTGTGTCCAGTAAGCTCCGTCTCCACTTCCTTGAGATTGAAATGAAGTCTATCTGGTTTTTGGTGTGTCCATCTGGTGAAATCCATGTTGCCTTGTGTATATTCCTGTGTTTGAGCACACTGCCACCAATCACCAAATCATTGAAGGCGCAGAAGTCTGAGAAGAGCTCGCCATTTTCGTTCATTTCACCGAGGGCCTCACGACCCATGGTGAGTTCTCTTCCTGTATTGTCTCCTCCCAGTTTCGCTTTCATGTCGCCCATCAGGATTTTGATATCGCTCTTTGGGACGTTGTCCATTACTGTTTGTAGTTGACTGTAGAAATCCTCCTTCTTCTCATGTTCTGAGGCGTTTGTAGGCGCATAGCATTGAATGATTGCAGCCTTCCTTCCTTTCGAGTTGAACCTGACTGTCATTACCCTGGAGATCGGTTCCCACTGCAGGAGAGCTTTAGCTGCTGTCGGTGACATCATGATGGCTACTCCCTCGGTGTGCTCGTGATCGTCCTCTGGGTGACCGGAGTAGATTATTGTCTCTCCAGTTGGTAGTTGGCTCCTGCCACATCCGTTCCATCTGTTCCATTTCGATATTTTAAGGAAGCATTAACTAGGAAAAAGTGACACTTTTTGTATTTATGGGGAACGGTGGTTTCCTAACGGTTCAGAAAGAGACCAAAACTTCCATAAGTTAAAGTCAGTGACAACTGCCGAGTCAAAGAACGCAACAGAGCAACTCTAGAGCCTTATTCTTGCATAGTGGCATGATGTAGAAGCAAAATTGTGAATCTCCTTCATAAGCCCACCAGCGTGAAGCGGCTCAAATTTTCGCAGCTACTGGATAATTTTAATACCAATAGTGTGATATGCTCAACAGTGGCACACACCAACTACTGAAAAAAGCCACCGTGGCTCACTGCTTAGATTCACTGCTTGAGGTCACCACAAATAGTATCCTGAATGTTCTTTTATGCGCATGCTCAGCCAGAAATATATTTGGTTTACCTTAAAATGTCCCACTTTGAATATTGCCAACCAATTAATCTCGGATATTTACCTTTCTTCAGCTGATGCCTGATTACGTCCGGGATACCCAAGTGCACCAAAAGACTGTTTACATATAGTATATGAATTCACAATCACGATACCCATAATTCTGAGACCGAACCCGTGCTCACTTGGATTTCTAATTATAGGAAATACGAGGATATTTTGCACTTTCGCTCATCATGCAGCGACCTAGTTCTCATTTCATATCATTCTTGGACTTCATAATGTCACTTTCAGATCACGCGAAATGTGCAGATAGACTAAGAACGTACTTCAAGGCTATATTATCATGCCGTGTCAGTCGCCTAGTGTCCTGCATCGACACTACTGCTATTTTCGGGAATTAGTTACGTTCATTCAAGATAGTTTGCGCTTGATTACCCGCTGGGATCAAATAGAAATAATGTTCATGATTGCTGTGAGGCTGTTGGGGACCAATTAAGTAAATGAATTCGGTAGAGCTTACAGTAAATAATCCCGCTCTTTCAAATTGTTTATTTATATTATTAGAAATCATGAAATATCCGTCATGCGTATGTTTTTGTGTTACATGACCACCACTAGGTTTTTGCATTCCCTCTGGTGCGCAAGTATTATTTCTCAATGCTCGTTAATCTAAACACATCCCAAATTAGGCGCAAGCGTTGTAGTCTCCCTTCATTGGTTTGGATGGCTCAAAAGATGGTCAACCGGAGAAATTTAAGGTAAATGAACTAGTAGTAGAACAAATCTCCTTGTCAATGACCAATATTAATCTGCATTCAGTTGAATTCACATCTGGTATTACTTGCAATAAAAATGATGTCAAAATCATACAAATAAATCACTCATTTTAAATTAATACCCAATTCGAACATAAAACAAGATACGATGCCGCACGCAACAAAGTTATATGGAGGAATTGACTTCAAGCTTTATTTTCTTCCCAAATATTTGTAATTTATCCGACACATACTTGTTTTTTTGGTTAATGCGAAGACAATATTTCTATATTCCTTTATGTGCTCCATTGAACGACTAACTATCAGAATGTACTCACTAACTAATGTCAGAGAGGACAGCAACCATGTAATTTCACTATAAATCAAATTCATGTGATTTAAATAAAACTTATCCATGCCTGTACAACTGGTGTGTCCTACATAGATAGGAAATATATATTATTAGTCCACTTATATTAACTACAAGCGGCTTAAATGAGAGTGTCAAAGCTAGGACTGGAAGTCCAAGACATGAAGTCATTACTGTGAAATTACCGTGGAAATCCACTGCATCCCTTACAAGGAAAGCGATCCGGATGCTCAATACTAATTTCAGATCTGCCAGTGTTGCTATCTGGTACATACACTTGGCACACGAATCACCAAAATAATTTCTAGCAGGCTGCTTCAGATTTTCATTAACAACTACTACCTCCAGTTGGATAATTAACCCCACATCGCTGACTGAAAAGGATAAGTAACAAGGAACTCTGACAACGGAACAATCAACGACCTACCACTGACCAAATATACAGAACGAAATGTAGATAGGCTTGACATTCGGTGGGCAGACCGTTAAGTGACATCGCACACC